AAGAACCATTCAGGTATTAGAGGAGAAAATGAAAGTGGTGCTAGGAATATAAACTCATTAAATGAGAAGTAGGATATCTGGAGAAAGATAATTCCTCATTAATAAGTGACGGAATAAAACAGTCAGCAGCTCTGGAGAAAGAATCCTTTACAAATGGCTGATATTTTGAAATTCTTGTCCAGGACACGCTGGAGTCTGGAGTAGGGTTGATTCCTTGGTAATGAATTAAGTCTATGAGTAGTTTTGACTGAACACTACAGTTCTATGTTTACCATATGATTTTCCAGGATTCTTTTTCGTTTATTATTCAATGAAACAAATTCTATATTTTTTATCAATACATTGTTACTAAATATTCTGTAAAACAATTTTATGTTGCATTTACTCAGTGAAAGAGAATTTTGCCTACTTATTCTTACAAAGAATATGTGAAATGATTTCTTTCCAAGGTACACATTCGAGTAGCCTCACCGCCAATTAGATATCCATGCTTCATGGGAATAAACATTCCCACAAAAGAAGAACTTATTGCCAATAAACCAGAATTTGATCATCTTGCAGAATATCTAGGTAACTATTAAAATTTCTGTAAACATTTAATTGTTTGTTAACAGAGAAAATCCAAAGCTTGTCAGGAAGAAAGGGTTTCCAGGTAGAGAGAATTTGTACAAGCATACCAGTTAAAGCCTCCCAAAGTCAGATCGTAAGAAAAACAAAACAGGTTTTGGAGTTTTCTGTTGTTTTTATTTCAAAATGTTGATTAAGGGGGTACAAGTGTTTTGTTACAGGAATACCTTGTATTAATATAATGCTTAAGTCAGAACTATTGGTGTGCCTGTCACCAGAATAGTGTTCATTGTACCCAATAAGCAAGTTTTTATCCCCCAACCCACCCTCCCCCTTCTTGGTTTCTCATGTCCTTTATATCACTTTGTCAAAAACAGTTTTATCACAGATTCTAATAGAATAATTTGGGTTTAGACACAAATCAAAAAGTAAAAACCTTGTGTAGGCTTATCTTTAATAACGAGGTAAGCAGATGTAGAGATCTAATTTATCCTGGATCAGACATCTTCCTTTCAAAATCAGGTGATGTATAAATTGGGTAACTGTCGCATGAAATACAACCATTGTGCTTTGGTACCTCCACACTAGTTGTTCATGGCTGGCATTTCTTTCAACTGGTCATTCCTGTGCCTTACTGGCCAATATTTTGAATATCACCCTGCTGCATGTATTACCTATATTATCATAATAATATCACAAAAACTATACAATTTCAGCAATGTTTCCCCCATCTTACAGATGCAAAAATAGTCTTAGCAAAAAGTAAGCAACCTTAAGCTTAAATTTGAGCCCAGATCTTTCCAGTTTCAAAATCAAGAAAATTACTCCTGAATCCTTCTAAATCCTTTCTGGACTTGAAGCCTCTGCTGTTTTAAATTATGCTATACCCTAAATTCCAATTTATAATTTTAAAAATAAAGGCCTTGAGTTTTACTGATCTTTTCTTTTTCCATCCATCCTTCCTTCCTTCCTTCCTTCTCTTCCTTCTCTTTCCTTTCTAAGAAAGACTAAAGGAGAAATTTTTATCCTGGCTTAAATTATTCTGTTTGTAAATATTCTCTGTTGAAGCATTTCTTGCTTTCTAAAGGAACTCTCATGATCTTTTTATTTTTCCCTCTTTCCCCCTATAGGAGCAAACAGCGTTG